ATGCCAAAGGTTAAATTCAAAGAGAGAGTATCTTAAAAGCAGCAAGAGAAAATCAATTAGTTGCATACAAGGGAACACCCATAAGACTCTCAACAGCTGATTTCTCAACAGAAACTTTACAGGCCAGAAGGGCTTGGCACAAAATATTCAAAGTGATGAATGCCCAGGACCTACAACCAAGATTACTTTACCCAGCAAAGTTATTTAGAATAGAAGGACAGACAAAGAGCTTTCCAGACAAGAAAAAGCTAAAGGAGTATTACAGGGAATGTTGGAGGGACTTCTTTAAGAAGAAGAAAAAAAATATGTATCAAAAGTCTAAATAAAGAATGTCAATAACTATACATCTATCAACCAGTACTTCAGATGAAAAAGAATTAAATGCTCCAATCAAAAGATAAGGTGGCTGAATGGATAAGAAAACAGGATCCTTATATATGCTGCCTACAAGAGACTTGCTTCAGATTAAAAGACACACACAGACTAAAAGTAAGGAAATAGGAAAAGATATTTCATGATGGACCTAGAGGGTAGTGTGCTGAGTGGAGTAAGTCAGAGAGAGGAAGACAAATTCCATGTGATTATACATGTATGTGGAATCTAAAGGACCAAATAAACAAGTGATCAAACGCAGAAACAAACTCATAGATATGGAGAACATTTTGAGTGTTACCAGATGGGAGGGGGGTTGGGGTGGTCGGCAAAGGTAAGGGAAGGGACTAAGCAGTACACATTGGTAGTTACTAAATAGTCATGGAGATGGAAAGTACAGCCTAAGGAATATAGCCAATAATATTGTAATAACCATGTATGGTGTCAGAGGGGCACTAGATTTATTGGTGGTGATCGCTTTATGAGTTATAGAGATGTCTAATCACTATCTTGTATACCTGAAACTAATATAGTATTATATGCCAACTATAACTGAAAAATAAAAATTATTATTAAAAAATAATAAAATAACCCAAAGTAAAGAAAATGTCCTCTTTGACTCATATGTGCTCTTTGGCTTTTCCAACCAGTGGCAATATAAAGACAATTGACTCATGTAATTTTTTAGAAAAATTTACTCCAGTAAAACACGGGATAGCAACACTCTCAAACCTGTCTCATATCACCTGGTGCTGCCACAAACTACTTGGACCCCTCTTCTTCCATCTTTGCCTTCAACACAATCCTGTGTTTCCATCTCGCTCTGAGCTGTCATTGTCCAGGGACGGGTCAGTTTTCTTTGCTGGACTGTGAGCTCCATGTGGTCAGTGAATGAATCTATCCTGGTCACTGTTATGTCATCAGGTCTTTCCATAGGTCATCATTTAGAATGGGGATGTGTGTTGAACGACTACAATGCCTTATAGCCCTCAGAATTTCTAGACGTTTCTAACGGGATCTCATCAATGAAAGTGAAGGCTCTTCCACGTTTTGCCCAGAGACAGAGGTCAGCAATTCCCTCCCCTGTTTCATGTACTAGACTTGTACATAAGATACCATTTGATGACCATTGGACTTCTTGACCCTGAGAAAGAAGATACCTACCAAGAAGGGCATCTGGTGGCTAATTGGGCTTAACTTTACAAACAGAGCCTTGCAGCTATTGTTAAACAAGGGCCTCTCATGCAAGTAAGCTTCAGGGAGAAGCCTGAAATAAACTGCACTGAACTTCCTGCCTCTACTGTGTTCCTACCACCTGATCCAACCTTTAGAGGAGTTCTGGAATCATATTTCAACCAATAGGACTGAGACTTTCCTTGTCCAGTTGGAGCTGTGCAGCTATATAGCTCCATTAGCATCTTTACCTACCAATCAGAATGGCCACACTCTGACCAATCAGGACAGTGCTTTTTGGACTGAACAGACTGTGAGAATTTGGAGTCCTCATTTAAATGAATGCAGAACAATCAGGGATCAGGGCTGGGACTTATCTCTATATAAGTCAGCTCTTCTGTGGAAAAGTGTTCTTTCCTTTCTGCCTAAGAGCGAAGCTTGCGTTTCTCCAGCTGGACCTGAAACCCAGAAGACAATCTTGCCAGAGCAGAGCAGACCTGGCAGAGTGGAGTGAAGTGGAGTAGAGCTGTCTAGCCAGGGAGGGGCCTCTCCCAACTGCCACCTCATCAGAGAGCCAACTCACCACTATGCTGGTCTACAGCCTTGGTGGATCATAAGTTAGCTGTTTGCACTAAATAAAATTTCCTTCTTCACCCCACCCCAAATTAGGAATTCCTGTAGGCATTGAAATGGCACCAACATCCATCAGTTGACAGACTGTACACTTACAAGGGTGTTTGTAGCTCTGAACTGCAAAGCTTATGGAGGGAGCACCAAGTTGTTTATGATGTGTGTTTGTATATTCGTGTCTGTGGCAGGCACAGAGATGTTACACTCAAATTTCTCTTCGAGAAAACTTACCATTCAGCTTCAAGAAGTGCAGTGAGCTAACAGCTTCCAGTTGTAGCCCCTTCAGAATCCACCTCTGCTTGGAGCAGAGTTTATGCTCTTCCAAGAAAGCCCCAGCCAGCAACTGAGGACAGCTGTAGTCCAGGGCATGACCATTTGTTGCCCAACATGAGGCACCCCTAACAGCGATCTTCGCTTCTGATATACCTATTAGATAAATTGCCTCTCTGTGTGGTGGCCTGAGTCTCTCCTTGCCTAATTCTGCTTCTTCTCCTATTTCCTTTTATGAGTGTCAAATCTGCATTCTGGTCTGAAGACTTTTCTTACCCATTCTGCTGCTTTCCTGTTTTGTCTTTCACACACATTGTCCTGCAGTGAAACCATGCACTCCTAACTCCATCTAAGTCTCTACTTCCCAGAGGACTCAATTCACATAATAAATATCATGGCATTTGCTGTTTATTACATTCTCAGTCTCAAAGCTCTTTTCCAATTTTGGACAAGCCTCTGTTGTGAGACTGTTTGTCAAGGGAAAATCTTTGCTTCCCACCACAAGAGCTGAAGAGACCATCGAAGCTTTGTCACTATAGTCTGAACCCTAAGGCTTTAACATATGACAATGGCCTGGCTAATTGGATCATCTTGCCTGAAACTATGACTCTTGCTTGAGAAAGTGACAATGAAAACACAGATACAATCAGGACATTGTCCACAGCAGTGCACAATGGGTCAATAGTCCCATGGCAGTGGCGTTCAGTGTCTCAAGGTGGCAGCAGTGCTTAGCTAATGGTTCTGGACATTTATCTTGGCTGCTGTTCTCTTGGCACAGCCTCTTTTTTTTTTTCTACTCAATTTCTTTGCCTGATTTCTCATTGATTTTGTGAGCTAGCCATTCTTCCAAAAGCCAGGAGGCTTTTTCGCTCAAAAGAGCAAACACTATTTTGTGCTGAGTAAAAACAGAAACCCTGACTGTTACAGGACTTAAAGGCCTCTGGGGGTTTTGGACTGAGAACGAAGTGGTAAAGGATGAGCTGTTATCCCTGGAGTGATGCCTGAATCCCCTTTTTCTCTCACATTCTACACCTAAAACATCAGCAAACCCTGCAATCTCAGACATTAGAAGAGATTCCTCCTCCCTCCAGCTACAAATGTTTCTTCGTGGATTAATGTACACCATTCAGACTTCTGTCTTAGCCTCTGCTCTTTTTAATTGTCCTGTCAGGAACACCCAGGTATCTGCATGGCTTGCTCCTCATCACCTTGTGAAACCATCTATGACCCTTGATTAACAATTCCAATCCTGGAATCCTCTGTCCTACTTCCGTACTTTGCTTTTTCTGACATAGTATATCATTTGTTTATTTATTGTGTTTACTTTTCATCGCCTACCTTCCCTACTAGAATGTAAGCTCCATGAGGGCAAGAATATTGTCTGTTTTGTTCACTGATGGATCCTAACTACCTGAAGAGTGTGCTGGCACAAGTTGGGTATTCAATAAATATTGGTTAAATAAAAAAAATTATGAGGAAGAGCTGAGCAAGTTGATGAAGTTTAGAAATAGAATAATAGAGTTATGGGAGATTTAACTATTTTTCAAAATACCATGTGATTTCACTTACATGCAGAATCTAAGGAATGAAAAGAACAAACCGATCAAAAACAGACTCACAAATATAGTGGACAATTTGGTGATGGACGAGGGGGCAGTTGGGAAACTGGGAGGATGGGGTGAAGGGTTAAAGAAGTACAAATTAGTAGTTGATAGATGGTCATGGAGATAGGTGGCACCGTGTAGTTAGCATTGATACATTGGCCAGAGAAGAGAAGGAGAAATTAGGGAGATTGTTTTATAAACTATGTAAGTGTCTAACCAATGTACTGTATACTTGACACCGATTAAAATTTTTAAAAAATGGATTGGAGAGTATTTGGAATTGGAAGCTATAATAAGGACAACCAGGAAATCAGGTTTAGAAAGAGAGATGATGGGGAGGGAGAGGTAATGAGCTAGCAAGATGATTGAGGCTGGGGTATTACAAGGGGGGCCCAATCAGTGGGAAATCTCTGGCGATGAGTAAGCAGAACAGATACTTAATAATAAGGAAGTAAAAAAGGCCATTTGAGTTGTTTGCAATGCCCTATTGATGTCGCACACACACACATACACACAATGCACAATAATCTTGCTACACTCATCAGTCTTGAATTCCTTGTTGCTTTTTTTGGGGGAGGTGCAGATTTGAGAATCAAGGAGAAGGCATTGTGACCCACATTTTGGGCAAAAACAAAGGAATACAATAAAGACATGGCATCTATAACGAGAATTTGGTACAGACAGAAACCCAGCCAGAAGTGATCAAGTTAAAGAAAAATATGCAGGCTTTAGCTGAAATGTTGGATAGGGCACTGCTTTTCTTCTGGATGTAGAAGATATGAAGCTCTATATTTTCAGATGACCCTCGTTGACCTGTGGCCCCGTGACAGTAGTAATAGTGCCTTCTCTTAGGGCTGTCGTGAGAATTTAGAGAGATTAGGATGGATACCCCTGTGTGCTTGGACAGAACTCTATTCTCCGATGGTTCCTTCTGCGCCCAGTTGGGGGCGCTCAGCGGGACATGAGGCAGAGCTCATAGGTCGGGGGGATGTTCCCAAAGCCTGAGACCTTGGGCGTAATATCGATGTCAGCAGGTGGCACCAGCGGGCGTAGGGAGAAGTTTTGAAGAATGGAGGTGAAGTAGAGGAAGAGTTCCATGCGGGCCATGGCCTCGCCCAGGCAGACACGCTTTCCTGTGAGCAGAGGGCAGGATGGGAAGGTCAATCACACTTCACTGAGGTGAAGAGGCGTGGGGAGTCTTCTGACCCTACTACCCCTCTGAGCCTCAGCTGCCTCCTCAGCTTCTCTCAGGTCACGATAATACTCACTTTTTAGGGTTATCATAAAGACTCAGTGTGTTCCTATAGTTAGTGCCACTCTCAACACTTGGCAGCGCTTCCATGATGGTCGGATTTTATCCGGTTCCAAGATGGAACAGTGTAAAGGACTCTCGAATTAGAAGGTTCTGTTCATTTCCATTTCTCAAAGGTTTACAAAATGCCTAATTGCTTTCAGATACTGATGAGGGGGGAAATGAAAGCTCACATTTAAATAGTGCTTACTATTTGTCAGTTACCCTTCCTGTGGTTTGGAGAGATTAATCTTCATTTTGCAGTCGGGGAGCTGAAGGAACTCTCCCATGCTGCATCGTTTGTAAGTGGTGGAGTGAGGTTCTGTTTCCTAACCACTAGTTCTTTTTGTGGTACAATGGTGGAGGTGAGTAGTTCAGACTGTAGAGTGCAGACAGAGACCATATGTCTGGCAAAACCTAAAATAGTTTCTATTTGGTCCTTAGCAGAAAAAGATTGCTGATCCCTGTTTAGTTACTTTTCTTATTGTCAGAGTCAATGGTCCCAATATTCTATAATTCTGGATTCTAGGATTCTATGAAATAGCACTCAACTTCTCATTCGGACCTGAACATCAGATGGTTGAACATATGTAGCATGATCTTGGTGGGGAACTCAGACCGTAGAAACCTACCAGAGGAAAAAGGTACAAAGGCTTCATTCTTCTTGAAGCAGCCCTGCTCATCCAAGAAGTGTTGGGGGTAGAAGGTATCTGGGTAGCGGAAGTATTTGGGGTCTCTGAGGACGGAGCCAAGCAGGGGAAATACATCGGTGCCCTGGGGTGAAAAGGGGGCAGTTAGGAGACATCGGTGTTGGAGTATGGGGTAGGGGACCAGGAGGAGAGAAGGGTGCAATGGAGGGAGAAGGGGCGAGAATGAGGGTGCAACTCTACCTTGGGCAGAAAGTAACCTCGGAAATGAGTGTCCCGAATGACATTATGGGGGACACCCATGGGCACAATATCTGTCAGTCTCTGTATCTCGTGGATCACAGCGTCTGTGTAGGGCATCTTGACTCGGTCATTCACACTTGGGATCCGGTGTGCTCCAATCACCTGGTCAATCTCTTCATGCATCTTGGCTGGAAGGGGCAGAAAACATAGCAGACGAGGACACAGGAGGTGTTTCTAGGGGCCAGGGTTGGGCCATGGGTTGGCCTGTTGATCTTGAGGGAGCAAGCCATGTGTGTTTGGATTGCCTCTTTATTCTTAACACCTGACACACTGGTGGGGTTAATAAATACTCATCAGACCATGGGGAGGCCTGCAGCCTGGATCCTTGGATGCCAGTTGAGATATTTGGTCTTTATCTTGAAAGCACCAAGGAGCCATGGAGAGTTGATGAATAGGACAGTGCCTTGGTAACACCTGGGCTTTCACACACAGAGTTTTGACAGGATGGGGAAGAGGCACAATAGATAACTAGGACAGGATAGAAGCAAATGACAGCAATTATGTGACAATTAACTTTGTCTGTACTTCCTGGTCGAGTGACCTTGGGGCAAATGCTGTTACCTTCTGAGCCCTTGTTTTTTCATCTTCAAAATAGATGTGATGGCCTAACAAGCTCATAGAGTTGTAAAATTTACATAAAATCCAGTATGCAAGTAACTAGGACAGAGCCAAGCACATTAAATATCCGGTTACTTAGATTAGTTAAAGACAATTTGGACAATGGAAAAGAGACTAAAAGAATCTGAGTGAAAACAAGTTAGTCTCTCCCATTGTCTCTACTGGGAGAAATTTGTTGGCTTATTTTGACCTGCATTAGAAGTGAGAAGAACCTTAACTGGGTACTTTCCCTAAGCAAATAATGAGCTCCTCATTACAGGAGTTACATAGCCAGATCAGACTGCAATTTATTGGAGATGTATTCTATTTGATTCTGAGACTGTAGTCAGTTAAATAATGGCCATCGAAGATATCCACTCATAATCCCTGGAACCAGTGAATATGACCTTAAATGACAAAATGACTTTGCAGATATCATTGAAATAAGGATCTCGAGATATGGAGATTATCCAGAATTACCTAGGTTGGCTCTAAATATAATCAGAAGTGTCTGTATAAGAAGGACGGAGTAGAGAGGGAAAAAAATGGCGTAGATGATAGAGGCTCTGTTCATCCCTCTGGCAACCAAATCAAAGTTGTGTTGTTCTAAGCTACTAAGTTTCTGGCAGTAGATGACAGCAGCCATAATGAACTAGTACAGTCACCCAGTAGAAGATTAATTAAAATGGCCTTCCAAGCCAAAGATTCTGAGATTCTATATCCTGAGATTCTAAATTGTGAAGAGTCTAAGGCCATAGGGTCCTAAGTTTTCAGGTTACACCTTCTTTCCTGTTGGGAATAGGAGTCACTAGGTAAGCAGCTGAGGTGAACACTCACCTTCCACTTCAGGATATTTCATTAGAAGCAGCAATCCATAGCGAAGGGTAGAGCTCACAGTCTCTGTACCCGCAAAGAAGAGGTTGAGAGTGGTGAGGACCAAGTTCTTGAGGTTGAATTCCGTGTGGGGATTATTCTTATCCTGAAAATGAGAGGGATAAAAAATAGAATCACTCCTTTCTGACTTTATCTTCTTATTTTCTTCCTTTGTATATGGTAGGTCTTTGTGAAAACACAATAGGTGGGTAAACCAAATGGGTATCTGGGAGTCAAAAGAGACAGAGCAAAGGTCCTGAGGTGGGAGGATGCCTACTGTATTAGAAGAACAGCAAGGAGGAAGTCAGTGTGGTTGCAGTGGAGTGAACGATGAGAATGGGAAGAGAAGAAAGTAGAGGTTGCCTCGTCAGATTTGAAAGTTCAAGTATAGGAGGGTATATAATTTTAAACTTTCAAGTATTGCTGTTCTATATTAAAAATATACAGATTTCTAAAATTCTAAGACTCTATGATACAGAAGTATTCTGCTTCTAAATTTCTCCTTCTCTAAGACTTTAAACTTTTAAAGATTTTAAATGTCTAGGCTTCTCAAATTCTGAGATTCTAAAAACTCTTTCGACAGTTGTAAGTTTTTGACAGTTGTAATAATACTTGATTAGAAAAGTGTAAGATTTTAAGTTTCCATGTTCTTAAAATTTTTAGATTTGAAGTTTATTTTAGAAGTATAAGAGTTTTTGCCTTTACAGTCTTTATATCTCATCTATAAATAAAAGTAAATCATGTGAAACAACGCTTGCTTTTTTTGACTCTAACGCATCTACAAATGAGTTTAAAGGTGCAGATGAGGCTAGGGATTGAGGCGATGAGAGGAAACGGCTGGAGTACCTGGTGCATCTTGATGAGGAAGCAGTCGATAAAGTCCCGAGGGTTCTGTGGGTCAAGGGATGCCTCGTTTTTCTTGACCCTGGAGGCTACGAAGTCCTTGAGCTCCTCTACCAAGTAGTAGATGCGATTATGTCTTCCTGGCAAATACTGCATGATTCCAGAATACATGTCATATAGCTGTGGGAAATAGGCAAAGGAGGTTTGTCAGCGATGGGCACCCATGACCATCAAGGACTGAGTCTGGAGTCAGATAGCTGGACTCAACATCCAGCACTGGGTCTGAGAACTGAGTGAGTCCATTTGCTTCTTGGGGACTTGGGGCATATTGATATGTGATGAGCCTCCCAGGGTTGTGGGGGTGATTAAGTAAGATAAGCAGGTGCTTAATTAACTGAGGTTGGGAATGGGCTGAGAGGTGGCTGGTGGGCACCTGTGCCCAGGGTGTGCTCATCTCAATGAAACTCTCGTTGATCATCTGCAGCAGCTTCAAGAACTGCTTGTCCTCATAGTCGAAGCGGCTGCCAAAAACGACAGAACTGATGACGTTGGAGACAGTGCGGCTCAGGAGGAAGGTGGGCTCAATGGGAGCACCTGGGTGATGGAAATTGTCTATGTTAGAGGCAGTGACTAGGAGCATGGGGTGTAGAATCATTCAGTCATGGATATGAGTCCCAGCCTCACTGCCTAATAACACATATTAGTTGTTTCATTTCCATGTTTTGAATCTAGATTTCCTAATATGCAAATTGACTTAACAACCACTTCACTGGTTCATGAGGATTCAATATAACTATCGATGTAAAATGCTTAACGCAGTCTTTGCCACGTAGTAAACTCTGAAGAAATGCTGATGGAGCTTAATCACCACTTTTTGGTATTAATATTTAATTGTTTGTGCTAGAGAGTCACAGATTTGGAAAAGAAGTCACAGTAAGGGATACATTAAAAAAAAATAGGATGGATGAATTCCATCTATCTCTATCAATGATTCCATTTCACCTATTAGGAACATCCTTCACTTGGCCTCAAGTGTACCACCTATAAAGCAGGATACTTGACAGGCCAGTGGATTTAGGGATAATATCTCTACAATAATGCCCATATTCACAAATATACCACTTTGCAAATAATTTCTGGGGGTACACGGACATTCAAGGACTTTATGTAGATTATTTAGCATCCAATGGAGCCAAGGCGATAAATCTCTGATTTAGAGAAATTATCGCTATTTCTATCTCTTATCTAGTCATCTCTTTTTTTCTTGGTCTCTATGTGTTTTTTTCTCTAGACCCCAGTGGTTCTAGATCTTATATTTTGGTAAGGATTGGATTCCTTTTTAAAAAGTAATTAAATGAGTATAGAGTTTTAGCTTTCCAAGATGGAATAGTTCTAAAGCTCTATTTTATCTTCACAATGATATGGATATACTCAACACTACTGAAAAGTACACATAGGAATGGCTAGGATGGTAAACATTTTGTGTTATGTGGTTTTTACACAGTTGTGTGTGTATGTTTGATTCCATCACACACACAAAAAAGCACAAACTCACACATTGCCAAAATCTGCATATGATATCAGGAGCTCACAAACTCTCTGAGATTAAAGTTTATGGACAAGTCATCTCTAAGGGCCCTTCATGTTAACTTTTAATACAGAACCTGGGTAGAAATCTCAGTAAATCCTTAATCTTTTTCATCTTCTCCCATTCCAGAGGTTTCTCCCACCAAGGTCCATCTTCTCAAGACTGAGCTCTCTACAACCACCCAGTAACCTTGTAACCCATCCCCGCCCCCGAGACCTGCATACCCTTGATCCGAAATTCCTCTAGTAGGAAACCAGCTTCTTCCTGGATCCGCTCCTCAATGCTGCGCTTTCCCATCCCAAAGTCTCGGAGGATGGTGAGGGAGAAGCGTCGGAGAATCTTCCATCGCTCTCCATTAGCCAGAGCTACACCTGCCAGAATCCCAGTGTCAGGCTTCTGCCTCCCTCCCCTTCCTGTGTCCAGCCCTGTGCTGAACAAGGATGGAGACAGATTTTGAAAGCTCTAGGCTCTGCTCCAAGGAAAGCTCTTCCCAACCTCCTAGGCTTGATGGGGAGACTAAGGTTCCCTATGTACAGGTCCCTCAAAAACAGTCCAGGATTGTGATGGAGGAAAAGGAATTAGGCTAGTAATGTTTAGGGGTGGTCAAGAAAAGTTTCTTACCAGATAAATACCTGAAACTGAGTAAATAACTGGATAGATGCATAGGAATGTGGAAAGAAGTATAGATAAAATGCCATTTAGAGTACTTAAAATCGGGACACTATCTTTATTTTCTACATATCACTTGGATTCTTTAGATATACACATACACGTACACGGAAACTCATACCTCTACATCAACATACCTACACAAAAGGAATTACCATGTAGTAAGAAACATTTAGAAATTGTCATATATGCATGGATTGGTGAATTAATTCTTAGAATTTTAATGAAATGATTTTAGTGGATTAATGAATGGAAAGAAGAGTTTACAACAGGAGTAACTGATGGATGGATGAAAGACCTAATGGATAGGTGAATGGTTAATGGATGGATGGTTTGAGATGGTTGGATAAATGGGTGGAAAGATGTATAAATGGAAAGATTAATAGCTGGATGAATGATGGAAGAGTTAATGAAAAAATGAATGGAATGATGGATAGACAGGTAAATGTAAAGTTAATTGATATATATAATATACATATATATATATATGTATATATATATATACACACACACACACATATATATATGTTGGATGGAAAGATACTTGCATTGAAAGTCTAATTAATGAGTGAGTTTTTTGGTGAATGAATGGGACAAGGGAAAAGTGGATGGATGGAAAGTCTGGAAAGAGTAGTGTGAGGCTGCTTGGAATTGAAGGGTGTGGACGATTAGAGATGGATGTATAGATAACACTAGAAATATATCTACCAAAATTAAGGAGGCAGAGACCGATGGGTTGGGTGTGTGTGTTTGTGTAGGAAAATAACAAGTAAAGTTGTCTATGAGGACTCCAGTGAGTACACAGTGTCACTAATCCATTAAAAGTAATAACAAAAGTAATACAGCAGATACTCTAGAGTCAGATGGTTTGGGTTCAAAATAAAATTGTACTACTACTTACTGTTTGATATTACCCAACCTTTCTCACCTTCATTTACAGCTTACTCATTTACAAAACTAGTAAGACATTAATATGTCTCTCAAAGGAGTCAGTGCAATAATTCATGTGGCGTATTTATCAAAGAACCTGGGACATAAGAAGTAAACGATAATACTTTTGTTTTAATTGTTGTTGTTACTTACCATGACCTTGGAAGTTTCGTTCTATTGAAGCCAATTCTCCACGGCCGCTGAACTCATCTGCTCGGTCTACTAGCGCTTCCTTAACTGCTTCATGTCCACATAAAACAACTACCGGCCGGGGACCCATGTACACAGTAAAGACCTGGCCATATTTCTCCCTGAGCTGAGAGTAAAGGAAGACATAGGAGAGGGCTGAAGGGAGCACCAAGTATAGACCAATCAAGGATTTTAGGAGATGAAGATTTCAAGGGGATACAAATGTAGGAATAACATAAAGGTAAGTCCTGGGCTTGGAAGAACTACTGAGACAAAGGCACAGATGCCTTGGCTCTTGTGATCCTGGGCAAGACTCCCCCCATGCCCCAACACTTTCGCAAGCCTTAGTTTCCTCATCTGTGAAATGATAGACCTCGATAAGATGAACTCCAAGATCCATGCTTCTCTCTCTAAAATGTTAAATTTCTAGAATCTTAAGATTTCATGATACTAAGTCTCAAAGTTCTATGATAACCAAATTGCAAGAGTGTTTGTGTTTTAGGATATAAGGTACTGTGATTCCAATGTTCTGAGATTGTGAGAGTCTTAAGTTCCAGTGTGCTAGGAGTCTGTGTTTCCAAAAGTTTAAGATTCTGGAATTTCAGAGTTCTAAGATTCATAAGTTCTGTGTTTCCAGGATCCTGTGGTTTAGAAGTTCGATGGTTACACATGTATCTTGTCTATAAAACCAGTTGCTTCCAGCTCTAAGAGAGGAGGTAGACAGACTCACCTTCATAAGAGACTGAAAGGTGGCATCCGTACGGATTTGTATCAGGTTTCCCAAGAAGGGTATTGGTGTGGGTCCTGGGGGCAGCATTCCCCCCTTGTTGATCTGCTTCCAGGCGATGAGGATGAGCAGACAAGATAAGCAGAGTGCCAGAAAGATGGTGAAGGCCCCTCCCAGCTCCATGGTGCTGGGTCGAGGAGCATCAGATCCTGCCTAAATATCTTCTGAGAAATTGGCTGTGCAGAAATCTGAACACCCTGGGATCCAAGTTTTCCGGGTATGGATACAATCAGAGAACAAGTGCTTTATATGAGGGGTGGTTATATAATCTATAATCTCAAAAGTAATTAGAGATGGATTAAATTCACCTACGGAAATCTACTGGGGCCCTTCCCCTCTCTTCATATTTCCAGTCCTTCAGTTCCTCTTCTTCAGCTTAACTCCTAGTTCAACAGGTCTTGGCAGGGTGTGGGAAGTGATTGAATTTCATTTTTAAGCTATTGTGTTTAGGAATCAAACAATCAGGGTTCAGATTTCAGCTCTATCTTTTCTTCACTGGGTAAGTCACCTAATCCTCTTGGCTTTAGTTTCCCCGTACATCAAATAGGATAACCATACTATTTCGAAAGTCTTGATAGAGAGTAGCTATGACTTCTTTCTCTTGGCTAAAAAAACCCTAATTAATCAGTTTTTAAAAATAATAAAGGCAGTTAGATGAAGATTTAGAAAATAGCAAGAGAAATAACTCAGTTGAAAAGGTTTAATTTGACTATTTTTCTTGTTTCTACTCAAAGTGATATTAAATAGTAATAAAGATTACTTGTGTTGGTTTACCTGAACTTTGCTGGTGTGTGTGTATATGCACCCACGTGCATTTATTGTCAAAGTCTAAGATGTAGAGACCACCTCTGAGTCCCGATCTCTAGAGGAGAAGACCACTCTAGAGGTATGGCCTAGTGATTGCTTTCTGAATAATCTAAACAAATGGTTTACAACTCTTTTTGTACCAAACATTTGTAAATCTTCTTTACTTCCTTAAAACAAAATTCCTGGGTATTATATTTTACCTATTATATTCTACCTATACATATTATTAAACAAAACTTAATGCTCTTCTCATGTGCCTGGATTCTAAGACTTGGAAATTTAATCTCTTAGGGAACGCACAGGTTTTGAAATAAGGCTTGGCTGACTGGGCTGAGGCATCATGTGTCCAGAAGTGGTGGGAATTCTGAGAAACTGAATGACTAATAGAGGACCACCTTCTGGATTTTGGATCTCCAGGTAGGATGTTATTTTTGGAGTAAGAATCAGCTCTAGCCTGCCTCTTTGACTCCCCCAGCTGTCACCTCTCCCGTCCATTCTGACCCTTCCCAAAACACACACACACACACACACACACACACACACACACACACACACACACACACACTCTGCATTCAGGACTAGTCTTTTTAATTATCCATGATGCAACGTTGTGGTTGTGAGTCTGGTCTTTCCACTCGAACAGGAAAGGAGAGAGAAAATATCCTTAGAACAGCCCCTGTCACCATCACACTCCAGGTAGGAAACCAGGAGTGGAGGCACAACAATCTGTTGTTTCCCACAGTTTCTGTGTCAATGTCATTTAATGCCATAATCTATGTACCCACTAGGAAATCTCCTTGGTACTTATACCTACTCCCAACTCCTTTTCCACATCTCCTCTCATTGTGAGGCTCCAGCTTGATGTTCTAGCCTAGAATCACAGCATGTCAGAGAGTGAGGAGGCCTTAAAAATATTTTTAGCTCAGAGTTTCTCTAAAGGTATGAAATGTGTAATTCGACCCAGTCCCAGCATGGAGTTTAGACCATCCATTATGAGGTATTACAAGATTCCTTGAAGGGAGGATGCAAGTATGGAGTTAGATATTGCTAGTAGTGATAATAAAAATACTTAACAACAGGTATAACACAGAAAGACACTGGGTGGAGATGGAGCAGAGACCTGGAGGCCTTTTTAGTTGCTGAATAATGGGAATATTAGTGAGGGGTGGTCCTGGAGAAGTGTTTGAGTTAGTTATCTACCAATCTCTGTCAAAAGAAACCCCTAACATCAGGTAGGACCACACCAGCATGTATGCACTGAATTTTAGCCATAGGCATTGCTCCCCAGAAGTTCCCTGCTCCCTTGGGCAGGGGTCTCAGCAGAGCTTGTTACAGAACTACTTGGTGAGGGGCAGTGGTGTGGTGCAAGAGCCGATTATTAAATGTCCAGCAATTATATGAACTGGTTGTGAGACACAGCCATTATTAATTAAATTATGTAAACTTAAAATTGAATACATTTTATTTTTAAAAGAAAATAATAAATACTCAAAGCTCTTCACTTTCTATTTTTTTTTACCATTAGCTATGCTGTTGAGGTTACTTATTTCTATGGTAAAAATACTATACAATGCTGGGTTCTGCACATCTCTTTCCAACCCCATGTTCAGTGACATCAGGTTGGTAGGTTGCTTGAAATTGGCTGTGATGGATGCATTTACACCACAGAGGTCATAAAACTCTACAAACCAGGACCCCTCCCCACCCCTCAGGACCTGACTGTTAAACATTTACCAGCACATCACTAAGGGTGCATTTTCAGAACTGGAAATCTGGGCTTGGGGTGGATGTTGACAGATGAGCATGGGCAAAGTTCTTCAGGTGCTTGCTGCTGTCATGAAGAGTTCCATGTGCACTGGGACCACTCTGGAAGTCTCTGCCTCCCTGTGGAGGAAGGCGATGAAGAAGAGTGCTTGGCTGGCTCTGGTGTTCCTGCTCTGGATAACTGCACACAAAGAGTAGCACTCTCTGACTTTGGCAACCGACAGACGTGAAGAACATAGGAAAGTGAGTCTCCCTCTCCGAGCCTATCCTCATCTGTATTTTGGGGAGGATAATATTAGTACCTCTTTTATAGAGTTTTTGAAGTGATAACATGCCTGCAAACCTCTTAATGCCGACTTTGGCACATAATAAAGAGCTCAACCAATGGGGGCTTTTAGCATGGTTGGATGGTTGTAAAATGTCATGGTCCTAAAATTCCCTGAGAATAAAACTTGGATATTCTCTGTGCCTCAGTTTCCTCATCTAGAAATGGGACAAAAAATTGTATTGACCCTTTGGGGTTTGGGGTACTATTCAATGAATTATGGCACACAGCAAGCATTTAATAAATGCTTCTTAAAATGAAAGAGTGCTACTGGGACAATGAAGCTGGGACCATGAAAAATTTAGTGGAAAAAGGACATTCATGGCCCTAACCGTAGAAACCTGGAGAAATCTGTTGGTTTCTTTTTTGGCTGCAGTTAGAGGAAGATACCTAGAATATAATTTTTTTCCCTAGGGAGACAAGATAAGTGAACCTGAGAGATCTTCATGTATAGTCCAAGAAGACCCATCATGGGAGGTGTTTTATGAAGTAGTGCCAAGACCAAGCTGAACATCCTCCCCAAGCTAGCATTTTTTTCTGGGATACCATTGTTCTCAGAGTCTTTTGTTCTAATATTTGAAGATTCCAGAATTCTGTGATTTTAAGTTATCTGTGGACTACGGATTCTTCCCATTGGGAGTGAGGGATCAGTTTTAGAAAAGTGAGGAGCTGTGGGGAGAGGGGATGGATGAACATTTTCCTCTTCATGGATGTTTTCATCAGAAACAGGAAGGTACTGCCAGTGCATAGCTGTTGCCCTCAGTGCCAATCAAAGTAAACTTGTAGTTTTAGGAAACAAATTCTAGAAAGTGAGTTTAGTGCAGAGGTCATTTTTCTGTTGGTGAGTGGGAAGGTTAGTAAGTGGGGCTTTTGAATTTCTTCCCTTCTGCTAAGAAAACTTACTCAAACCATGGAAATAAGAGAGTATAATGATTATGGAACATTTTTATGCCAAGCTAAGCATATTTTCTAATAGATCCATTTAAAAATAATCTCACTCCAAAATAGAAAGTCATTTTATTTACACAACTGATCAGAGTCTAAGATTTTTGTAATTCTGTAAAGGTGCTAAGTCATTATGACTATCTTTTCTGTTTGGTAGGTAGGATGACCTTTCCCCCAAATTAAAGAAAATTATGCAATAAAATTAGACATTAGCCAGTTTGTATTTAACTTGGAATTTCTTCTTCTTCTTCTTCTTCTTCTTCTTCTTCTTCTTCTTCTTCTTCTTCTTCTTCTTCTTCTTCTTCTTCTTCTTCTTCTTCTTCTTCTCCTTCTCCTTCTCCTCCTCCTCCTCCTCCTCCACCTCCTCCTTCTCCTTCTCCTTCTTCTTCTTCTTCTTTTCAATGCATATGAAATAGTATGGTTTTATTTGAAAACGAACTCATATAATTTAATATTGTGTATTGCCTGGGACAACCACTAAGAACATTTTCAAAAGAGGTATAAATTGTAAGTCACATGCATAAATAAAATTGCATCATAAAAAATGTTCAATTAAAATCAGAGAGGGCAGAATAAAAGGAAATAAGGAACAATACAACACATAAAAAATAGTTAGCAAGATGGCAGATTTTACCCCAAATATATCAATATTCAGTTTAAATGTGAATAGTCTAAATACACTAAAACAGAGATTGTCAGATTAGATAAAAAGCAATTATTATCTTTATATTGTATATAAAAATATAGTTTCAATATAAAGACTTAGATTTAAAAATCAAAAGAGAGGAACTTTGGAAACATGGCAGAGTGAGAGACTTCCCCAGATCTCTCCCCTTGAAACAACAATAAACCGAACATCTAAAACTCAACAAAAAACACCCCAGCTGCACATCAGAACCTCTGAGCATGGGATCTGCGCATAAGGTCAGAATCCCGGGTGTCGGGTGGTGGACTGGAAGTAATAAAGAAGCTGCCTCTCTGTAGCTGCTGGAGCTCCTTGCAGGAGAATGATGAGGGGAGAAGAAGCAGCGAGTTCCTGTAGCGAGTTCCCTGAACATTCCTGCCTGCGATAGCTGTGACTGCAGGGCCCAGACATTAGGGCAGAAAGCAGAGAAGCGGGAAGGGACTGCAGAGGAACAACAGCTGATTTTTGCCACGGTTGCAAAACTGAGGCTGAGCCACAGACCCCAATCCCCAACTCAGAGGGCCCCTCCCTCCATATCCTCCGAGACCAATCACAGCGGAGCCCCAAGGGAATCTGAGCAAACACTGCCAAAACTGT